CTTAAAACGGATATTTGTAACTTAAAATATTGAATCAAACGTTAAAAAAAAAAAAGGCTTAGACGAGCCGACTCAGCTCGGCTTGGTTTGTGAACAGTAACTGAAATGTTGCTCTTTTATATTTAGTTAGATCTACACTTATTTTTAAAGAAATCGAACATAAGGCATGTATGAACCCCATTTTTGGCATATAATGCATTTTGTAATAGTAAATTGATGAAAAATGCATGATTTTGACGAAGGAAAAGTTTTGTTGTCCTGTGTAATATTATTTCATTAAAAAATGTGTGGTTGAAATGAATAGAAAGAAAAATGTATTTTGAAAAGTATGTGAATAAATGATTCTATTTACGTACATGAGGCAAGCATATTACATATTTAAAATTAAACAATCTTCTTTTATTTTTAGTAACTTTAATTTTTAAATTAAATGTTTCAATAATTCTACGTAGAGATTATTACTTGAACGGAAAATAAAATCTCTATTGCAAAAGATAACAAGGGCATGACATGTCAAGATACTGAATGACAAATAAAAAGTCCATTATAATCCTAGATACCTGCTAAAACTATTAGGGAAGGTTCTCTTCGTATTTCAGTTTTTAATTTTTAGTTTTGAATTCATTTTGAGTTTTGTGTTTTAAATGTCCATTTTGAAATTGTTGAAAATATGTTCTTTTTGTCATTTAGAAAAATTGTTTTCAAAAATAAAGAAATGAAATTTTGCTCGATTTTAACTGAAAACGGCAAAAACGATTTTTTTGACGTTTTTCATTTTCTTAGTAAATTTTAGAGCTGGTACCGCTTTTTTTACCCAAAAAAATTGATTTTGTTACCTTTTTTTTCAAACTTACGGCCCCACTAAGAGATAAGTTAGTCTACAATTGCGGCTGAATAGTATTCTTGATGGTTGGAATTCTGCCGAATAGCAGAAATAGACAAGCTCTTAAACTCGTTTCTGAAAATAGGTAAGTAAACACGTTTTTAGTGACTTCGAAAATTGAAAAATGAAAATGATCTAAAAACAGCAAAGAGAACAAGCCCTTATTCTCCAGCAAAATTCTTAAACTGTTACTTTATTATTTAGGGAAATTTACAAAAAATTTCAATTTCATACTTGTAAATTGAAAATTGTTTAATTTTGATAACTTTTGCAAAAATGGTCAATTTAGTATCAAATTATCTATTATACCCTTAATGAAAAACGAAACAAATTTTTTTTTTTCAATTCGTTGAGAATTTCGAGAAGAGCAAGTATCCTTCATGAGAATCTATATTAATGATAGCTAATACCTAATAATAGGGTTGGACATTGTCCGATCCAATTCGATTATCTTCGGAACCGAATCGAACCTAATCAAAATTTTAGGACATTTAATAAATGGAACTGCTGAGTTCAAATATAATTATGGAACTATTCAAGTTCCGTTTTGTTCAGTTCCCTACCATAATTAATTTTTTTAACATATTTCTAATGGTCAACGATCAATGGTTGTGGTCAACGATTGCGGCTTCGATGGGCAATTGGAGAGGGGAAGTCGAACTCGACAGTCGTCGACTTCAATTTGGGCATGTAGATGTAGGTTTTCAATTTATCAAATGATTTAGGGTCAGTGACTTAATGGTTACCGAATGAAAGTGTGAAATTGGAAAGAAAATGATAAAAACTTAAAAATGCCTAGATATTGGGCTAATAATGAAATTAATAATTTGACAAAAAACTTAAAAAAAATAATTCAGGAGTTTTATCCAGCCATACCTAATAAATTAATGCGCTTTCATTATCTATTAGATATTAACCAATGATTTTGAAAAAAAAAAAAGAATTAGAAAAGCAATTAACATTAAAAAAATAATTATATGCTTTTAATTCATGAGAAAATTATATAATTTCATAATCTCATCAAAATTTGCAAGTTGATTACGCTTTCCATAATTATCGGTAGAAATTGATTTTTATTTGAAATCTTGTTTATTGATAAGTTTTTGATATTTTATGATATTCTCGACATTTTAAAAGTTGCTATCGACATTTCAACTCTATTTATTTCAACACTCGACACTTTATTTGTCTAGAACGAGATTTCGTTCTGAATATGAGAGTTATCTACGTTTTATAAAGTTCTTGATATTTTAAGTATAGTTCTCGATATTTAATAAATATTTTATTTACCCACTTATAGGAAGAAGTGAACATTTAATACATGATTGATATTGTACTTCTTAAAATAAATAGTATAAGTTACTTGTCAAATTATTATTGATCAATACAATTTTTAATTATATGAATAATTTTGTCTTTATTGTGGAATTTAATACTGCTAATGAGGACATTTTGGTCTAAATAATAGTAAAATGAACATTGAACAAAATTTGGATACTTTTGCAAATTACCCTGTAAAATTGGACATTTTTTTGTAATTTTCTCCATTATTTAGCCCATATTTGGGCTCTATCATTTTAGATTATAATGAAAGAAATATTAATTTTTTTTTTGAAAAATCAGTAATTAAAAAAGAAAAAAATTTAAATTTATGTAAAATATTATTTCATTGTAGAATGTCTGTTAAGAAAATGAATTTTAATTTAATCCAAGCCAAACAGGGGGCTTACAGTCGCACGCTTGACTACTCATCTGCACCGTGTTTCGGTGTTTCCACTCTTTCATCTCTCTCATTGCAGTGCAGGGTTCTCAAGAACAATCTGTTCTAACAGACTCACACAATCGAAGAAACCCATTATAGAAAACTCATAAATATCTTATCTTTCTTGTATCTTCTCGAGCTGGGCTTGAGCTCACAGAAGAAAGCAAAACCCTAGCTTATTTTCACTTGATTATGGTGGGGCCGGACAGTTTGCTCTGGCATCCTAGCTTTCTTAGCTGAATCCTCGGAGGAAATGCACCAATTTTCACCGATATAGGTAAGTCAATGCTTATGCGAAGACCCACCTTGT